CCCCCATAGGGCTGCATACAGGAAAATAAACTGCAAATAGGAAATCTTTGCTCAAAAAACGACCCAAGCTCCCATTTCTGTTTGCACTGCATTTAAATCTTCCATGAAGTTGTACGACTCCATTTTGTTTAGAGCACTGTTTTGGCACTTAGAAAATATTGTATAATAAAGAGCCCAATCAAAAGGTTATCCTAGCTGAAAATAATGTTGATCAGTATATTTACATTTTGTTGTGGTTATACTCACAGTTTGTTACAGCGGCCCAGGTATGGTGCTAGTTTACAGAATTGAGATAGCCTGGGAATGTGTCAACTCCATCTGTAACAAGTAAAAGTAGTAGCACTCCTAATGAAATTTTCAGTGCATCTCAAAACAAGGTGCATATTTAAGCAGCCTCTGACCCAAGAAGCCTGCTGACAGATGAACAGAGCTGGGAGTGAAGGGGTTTGTGCTTAGGCTTTGCTGTCTTCATACTCTGTTCAGTTCAGGCCTGGAACACTCAGGGTTTTACCTGGGGAAACAGCAGTTGTAAGCACTGCAGTCCAGGTGAGCACTGTGGAGCCCTGTAAACGAAGGAGACTGGATAGTAGGGTTACCAGGCTGTAATTAGGAGGACTGTCAGTACAAAGAGGCTGAAGACAAACAGAAAGCCATTCTCAAATGGTAGACAGAGCCAGGCTCCTTCATCAAAGCTGAACATTTTTAACCTGATGGCAAGTTTCTTCCTACTTGTCTTTATTAATTTGCTGAAGTGGATGATCGTATAAGCACTGTAGCTTGCTTGGAAATTCTTCAGTGTTTAAACATGATATTTACTTTGCCTCCATCTGAGGTATCTCCTTGTCTCCTCCATTCAGGTTGCTTTGCTTCACGTTGCTGAGCAGCATAAAACCCTCAGCTGGGTTGCTTTTCACCACTCTGACCCAGACGTTGTGTTCTGGGGGCACTCGTACTCCTCTAGATCTAGTCCAAAGTAAAGCTGTTAGAAGGCCAATCACAGCCATCAGTTCTTCAGTACCAGATTGGTTTGTTGTTTTGTGCTGTTGTTGTGTTTTTTCTTCTTGATATTTCTTCCCCTTTTACACCATACTAGTTACTAGCTTGAGCAGCGATTCCTGCTTTTCCTAATCAGAGCATCTTTCCAGCAGTGTGCTATTTAGCAGAAAACTTTTGTTTTCCTGCTCAGAGGAGAGCTCTGCCATACTGAACAGTGCTTTTATGTGAGCTAATCCTCCAGCTTCTTCTCCTCTACAGAACTAAGCTTGTTTCACTCCCCCCTCCATTTTAAATAAATGAGATTTTTCACTCACTGCGGTATCGTTCAGAGAAGCAGTGGTATAGTGCTGAGCAGCCTACTTTATGAGGATTAATCCAAGAAAGAAGGTACCAAGCATTTGATTGCTAGTTGTTAGTAGTGGCATCAATTTCTTGAGCGAACATTACCAAGATAAACTACAGGGATGGCACATGCTTCTATGCAAGCACTGACAATAAGGTTCTGAAGGACTCAGCTTAACAGCTTGTGTCAGCTGGTGAGGTTAATGGAAAAGAATTTGTTATTCAGGTCACTTAATGAAAATAACCTTGGGAAAGCTTAGCAGAGACCTCTGAGGGTGAAATAATTTATTCCTCTTCTGCTTCCATCACTCTAAGTTAACCCAAGACACAGAAAAAGCTGATCTAAACATGAACTCAACCTGTCAGTAGTGCAGGAGGAACATCAGCAATTACAACGTCTTGTTTTAATATCTGCTGCCCCTCTGGTGACAGTAGGCAGAATGCAGCCTAAGGGAGCAAAGGCTTTCCTTGCATAGCCCCATCTCTAAAACAAGACAGCTTGTTCATAAAGATGCAAGTTATCAAAGAGCTGTGCAAGACAACAACAAAAATGATCACTGCGAGCCCTGTCATTTTTAGCCAGTGCATGGTCCTTGGATCACCTAGACACAGGGAAGAGGCCACAGCAGCCATCCCTTGCACAGTTCTGCTCTGTGTTCTGCTGGTTTGTTTTGCTGTTCTGCTATAATCAGCAGTGAGCTTCAGTTCCTGTAATGTGAGGCATTAGGCCGATCTGTTTCCAGACTCCAGAGAGCCCGTTTCTCTGCACTGCCATTGCCCTTCTTGTCCTTTTAATTAAAGTGCTGCAAGCTGCCCAGGCGAATACATCTTTTACAGAGTGGCTGCCTGATTCCTACCAAAGCAGAGCTTCACCGTGAGGGTAGGGCTTGTGATAGCAGCCAGAGTAAGGGATGGGAGATCAGTTGGCAGATACCCCCGGTTTGATCCCATGCCTTGAGACAACTCTTTTGAGAGCCCTGGATCCAGGTGTGGGGAGCCTCAGGAGCAGGACAGTAGCAGACACACTCAGCCCTGTAGCCCTGTCCCCACCTGTAACATTATCACCTTGTCTACAAGGCTTTTTCCCTTTGCTGAGCAACAAGAATGCCTCATCTGTACAAAGCTGAAAATTCTTTTTACAGCTCTGGGTACAGTAATTTCCATACAGGAAAACAAGATTAAACTTGACAGTAATAGGGGTGATAGAGAAGGGGAAAGTGTTCTTCCTTTGAGGCAGAGGCTCTGAATGCAGCAGCCAGCAACTGACTGAGAAAGAGGAGAAGAAAGATAAAGGCAGTTATGCAAGCAGCACGGCTTAAAAACACTTCAGAGAGAAAAAGAAAAGAGGAACATGCACCTTTCTCTTGACATTTAAAAAACTACCTAAACCAGCTAAGCAAAGGAAAAGAAAGAATGTCACAGACCTTACAAAGAGAGCTGCTTTCAGCAGTTTGTTACCAGAGATCTTAAAATACCATTATCCAACCTTGCACAGAGACACCAAGCCCTCCATGACCTGCAGAAAACCATCACTACAATTCTCTTTTTTCCCCGCCATGAGTTGTATTTATAGGTTCCCTTCTGACTGCCTCTGTGGGAAGAGCCTTGTTAGCAATGACTGCCCCTGTGTGTGATTTAACTCCTCATATGCTGCCCCTGGGGTAGCAAACTGATAGCATTTCAGGAATGCCTGTAGGCTCCCAGTGTGCCCTGCTCCAGTAAATGACCCCATACCTCAGTGTGCTGGTGGCCTTTGGGAAGGCATTGCATGGTGAATAGGCTGAGTACTGCTGCATGTAGAGCTTCGTTAATCAGCACCAGCCCAGGAGTCCTCAGCATTTTAGTGCTACAGAGGCAATTCACTCCTAGGAAAATCAGTTTCAGTGGTCAGAGGTTCGCTGTCTCACAACCTGTCTTACCTCTAGCCCACAGAAAGATTGCTAGCTGCTTGCTACATGCCAATTATCATTACTTTACTCTTGTTTTTTTTATGGACTGAGTAATGTTTCCTGTCGTTAGAACTCTTTGACAATTGTTTCTATGAAATGCCTTTGACATTTGCAAGGGGAAGCAGGCCTACTGTTCACCAAAACCAGCAATCACCCCCTGAGCAGCGGGATGCCAGCTGCCGGGGCAGGAGCGGTGGGCACATGAAGTACAGTATGCCTGAGTAATGATTAACACACAACAAAGAGAGCTGCCTGTGCTGCAAATGGAAACACACTGTGTGCTTGGGATGTAAGAGCATTTCGGTCTAATTTTGCACTCTGCATATAGTAATAAGACACAACAGGGTATGCATTAAGCTCATCTTTTGAGAAGTGCAACGGTAGCTGAATAATGCACACCCTGGAGTGTCTTATTTGTAGTGGACTATGGCTCATTAATTTTACATTTAAATTTTTTTCAAACCCATTAAAATAAAAACAAATCTATTCTAAGGGCAGTTATGTAATGCATCCTTCCACTGAAAAGTAACTTCAAATAAAAATAGTAGGGAAAGGGTGAGGAAGAGCTTTGCTCAACTCTGGAGCAGAGTTCGGTTTGGTTTGTATAGGGCCTGTTGTCAGTAGGTTCCTAGTCTGCTAATGCATGTATATAATGGAAATAATGATAGTTACGGAAATGTATTCAGTGTTTCTAGGCTTTTCTTCCTGCGTAATTACTTGTGCCTTTGTCTTTCTTTCTCCTATGAAAGATCTCCTTTTCGTATATGAACCAGTAGCCATTTCAGACTGAATTCGCATATAAAGCATTCAGATGGGATTGTGACTTACTTTTACACCAACGTGATCCTGTTCCGGGGGCAGAGAGTCAAGATTTGAGGCAAGATGATTTTGCCAGAATAGAATTGTATGCATATACATGTATACAAGAGGATTTAAGGCACATAAGGTGTTATAAAAACTTTGTTTTATTATGAGATCACTTTAAAAGTATAACAGTATGAAGGAGGAACATCACTTTTCTGCTGTCCCGAATGAAATATGACTATGTTTTTTCCCTTTATATAGGTTCCAACCTTGATGATGGATACACAGTTTTCAGAATTCACTCCAGATATCACACCAATAATGCTGGCGGCTCACACCAACAACTATGAAATCATCAAACTGCTTGTCCAAAGACGGGTAACTATTCCACGCCCACATCAGATCAGATGCAATTGTGTGGAGTGTGTCTCCAGTTCGGAGGTGGACAGCCTGAGGCATTCCAGGTCAAGGCTGAACATCTACAAAGCCTTAGCCAGCCCCTCATTGATTGCCTTATCAAGTGAGGACCCCATCTTGACGGCCTTTCGACTGGGCTGGGAGCTGAAAGAGCTCAGCAAAGTGGAAAATGAGTTCAAGGCTGAATATGAAGAGCTTTCCCAACAATGCAAGCGATTTGCTAAGGACCTTTTGGATCAAGCACGGAGTTCCCGAGAATTAGAGATTATTCTCAATCACAGAGATGATCAAAGTGAAGAACTGGACCCCCAGAAATGTCATGATTTGGCAAAACTAAAGGTAGCAATAAAGTACCACCAGAAAGAGGTAAGAGCCATCTGAATGCAAAGGTTAGTGAAGGCTGTACATATCTGATGAAATGAGTCCTTTTTCAAGTCTCCATAGGTTTGTTTAGGAAAGACATGGTTGCTAGATGGGAACCAGTAGGCGTGTATTTGGATCAAGTGGAGAACCATGTGCAAATGGGTTAGTCACAGCCCAGAGGTTCAGTGCACTGCTGTGACAGTGTGAATCTGCTAGCAGGACTGGAATCTGGCAGCAGTAGTGGAACTTGCTGCAGGAAGTTATGGCTTCAATGGCACTGGCATTTTCTATTTCAAAGATACTTGAGTCCTTTTTCATTGCAACCCAGCCCCTACAAAGAACAATAGTCAATTTACGGGTTTGTTTGCTCTGAAAGCTTTTTCCAGTAACTGTCTTTATACAGGAACCAAAGACTAGAAGGGTTTGTAATGGAGTTATTGACTGCAGGAAATATAATACACTCTTCACTTCCTCCAGCCGCCACACACTTCACCATTCAGCACTAACTTGTAAGGGCTACAGAAACTACAGCAGCACAGGAAAGCAGGAGAGGACAAGGACATGCTCAGTGTCTCAGGTTCCCACATTAACAGAGGTATTTTTTAGTTGAAAATGCTTGTGTGATGCTAGGAAGTAGATCTCAATCATGCAAATACTTTACACCTGAAGCATCTCAGGTAGGTTCTAGCTTCTTGATTCATCCATGTCTCCAGGGTCTTAGAATCACTTCCCAAATCAGACTTCTGCCCTCATTACCAGAAAGGAAAGACATAATATGGGTAAAGGGCACAGAGCCTTTCAAAAGCCCTGCAGATCTAGAGATTTACAAGTTGATTCAATAAAGGCTATGAACCCAGAGAGAATGCTGACAACAGTTTCATTAGTTGGCTCTGGAATTTCTTTCTCTTTCCAAATCTGGACAGAGTTTAATAGGTGATATATTGCTATTGGGCAGTAATGTTCTTAGGTTATCTGAAAGAAGAATTTGGTTTGCTTGGTTGAGGAAGTGAATTTCAATGTCTATTACATTTTTCTGTGTCTGGAGGGTGACAGGAATGGTGGAAAAGCTTGCACATTATTCTTCTCACTGTTTTCCCTGTATTTGAGGGTTTATTTTTTTATACATTGACCCAGATGGGAATAGTCTGATAAGATACACTCCACCTCCCAGAAAGGCTGCTCTTGTCACCTCAGGTAAAACAGTCAAGAAATGAAAGATGCAGATTTTCCTTTCTTCCCTTTGGTCTGTTTTGCCTCCTGAGTGCCAGCCTCTTGCTGCAGGAAACTGGAGGTGAAGCCTCAGGCTTTCTAGAATGTAACATGGTCACTTACTGCTATTGCTGGTCTATTTCAGTACAGTATCACTGGGCTCACTGGTCTTCATGTCAATTTCTGCTTTTAATGCCAGCTGACAGTGCTGGGTAACACCATAAGTGCATTAGGGACACAAACAAGTAGTGAAGAATTAGTCTGGAGAATTGTAGTATAGCATATCAGTTCAGATGTTCCTTGAATCTAAAAAGGTCAGGAAACTGCTTCATTTTTTTTACTGTCCAGGTGGCCACAGACATAACCCTCATGTGTGCCCTTCAGCAGCCAGGACCCCTCCAGCACTGCTCAGTTTGGTATCGTGTCACAGTTCAGGCTCACTATTGACACCAAGCACAAATTTGTGACTTCCCCTCGTCTTGTGTTTGTATTAAGATGTCATAAGTTGGAAGAGGTTCATTGTATTTGAGATGTAGTGCTGAACAGTCGTGAGGTTCTTTTATTCCCAAGTAACAAACTCTTAATATAAGCTTGCTTGCTTGACAATGTTCATCCTTTTTTATTTATTTTCAGGGATATGGGGGTGGATATACTTGACTGAATTCCAAACGTATGGACAAGTTCCATGTTTTGTGGGATATTCATGACAATTCCAGCACATGAATGATAGCAAAAAAGCACAAACTGTGTTGCCAGCTAATGCTATTACCAGGGCAGGGACAGAATGAAGGTGGTTAGGGAACCAGCACTACTGAACCACCTCATACTACCTGCTTATTCACAAGCATTTTATGCAGCCTGAAGCATTATGTTTTTATGCAACAAAGTCTTGCAGTAGTTTTCTCATAGTCTTAATTGGTCCAATACAAAATACCAAGCAAGATACGAATGTCATTGCCAGCTTCTGAAAAAGAAAGAGTACGAATATTTAGTGGGAGACACTGAGAAATGCTTTTTAATCATGACTGAAAAGTATCAGACTAAGAGGGACAAGGAAGAAAATAGAAACAAGATTGGGTTCATGAAAGGCAGTTCTGCAGAAATGGCAGAATTTGTAGAAGATCAGCTTGTTCCACAGAATAATTTTATATCTTAGCATTGACAACCTTACAAGTCAAATTTCCAATAGCAATAGATGAAAATCCAGAGTGAATGTTAGTTATTTTCTGGGACTGTAAATTGTTACCGCAGTTGGCAGTTCTTTATATTCAACATAAGGAATGTGTGATCTCACATTGATTTTAGACGAATTGCAAGAGAAAATTTTCTGCAGCTTTTTCTTTTTGAGTGAAATAAATGTCAAAAAATCCCACAAAATACAAATCGATTCAATTTCAGCTTAATCAAGCAGGTATGTTCAACTTCTAGATTTTTTCTAGTGAAGTTGTTTCTAAAGGAGTTGGTAAACAGATTAGTGCCTTTGGATGGAGGTTCTGTACTGTGCATGTTGGGTAGAGAGTACGCTCTGACTTACTCTTGCTTTGTACAAGCGTCAGTAGACTGGGAATTCAGAGTATTTTTCACCAGACATTATTCAGTGTTTTTCTCTCCAGGTCATTTGAGCTGAAACTACTATGCCTTTTTTGTTTCCTTTACACACTGACACTGAAAAGTAGGTGCTAGTTTTGCTCCAGATACAGAAGAATAGCAGCCTTCAAATTCCTAGTGCAGGTTGATGATCTTTAGCAGTGAACGTACAGGACTGAAAAAAAGTCTTGATGGGAAAACCTAGACACCTATGGATAGTTCCTGCTTCAAACTGAATCCTAGGAGGAAAGGTTTTCAAAGCTAGTTAGGTTGCTAAATATGCAGGTTAGTAAGAAATCAGATTTTAATCAGATAATCTGGGTAAGTGCTTAAAACCTGTTGGAGATTAGACGTTTATCTTGCTGATGCAGTTTGAAATTTCACTGTTAAATTAGCTGCATGTTTTGGCACCTAACTACCGCAGAAAAATCTGATCTTGTATGTTAATTTTAGCAAGTAATTAGCAATCTGCCCTACCATCAATACAGCTCCCTGTTCCCTGGTTGGAATCCAGTGAGCATGCTCAGGGTACATGAAACTTCATCTCTTAATCTGGCATGAGCCCCTCAGTCTTCACAGAAGGCTGATCAAGGGCTGATTGGTGAGGGAAACTGCATCGGTTCAGCACATTTAACATTGCCTTCATTGCAAAGACTCCATCCAGGTAAGTACTACTGCCATGTAAGCACCTCCCCAGGCAGGCAGAAAAAACAAGACTTCCTCAGTTCCACTTTTGGAAGAAATAATCTTCATGAGATCATAAGAATTCTTGTACTAAGAGAAAAGCAGGCTTTCCTATAAATGCATGTAGTATAAGGGATTTATCTTCATAGAATCGTTCGAGTTGGAAGAGATCCTTAATGATCACCTAGTCCAGCTCCTCTGCAATGAACAGGGACATCTGCAGCTCAGTCAGGTTGCTCAGAGCCTGGTCCAGCCTTATCTTCAGAGTCTCCGAGGACAGGGCTTCCACCACCTCCCTGGGCAAACTGTGCCAGCGCCTCACCACCTTTATTGTAAAAAACTTCTTTCTTACATCCAGATAAATCTCTCCTCTTTTATTTTGAAACCATTTCTCCTTTTCCTATCACGACAGACCCTGCTAAAGAGTCTGTCCCCTTTCTTAAAGCCTTCCCTTCTCCATGCTGCACAGCCCCAGCTCTCAGCCTGCCATGCAGGGAGGTTTTCCATCCATGGGATCACTTTTGTGGCCCTCCTCTGGATGCACCCCAACAGCTCCGTGTCTCTCCTGTACTGAGGATTCCACATCTGGATGCAGCACTCCAGGTGGGGTCTCACAGCACAGAGCAGAGGGGCAGGTCACCTCCCTCGCCCTTCTGGCCTTGCTGCTTTTGATGCAGCCTAGGTTATGGGTTGGCTTTCTGGGCTGTGAGAGCACATTGCTGGCTCACGGCCAGCCTGCTACCCACCAGTACACCCAAGTCCTTTTTGGCAGGACTGTGCTCCATCCTTACATCCCCCAGCTTGAAATTCTTGTACTCATGACTAATTTTGGAAGAAAAAAAGGTGCTGAAAGCTTAACACAAAAAGGCACAGCTCAGCTGTTAGGGATCAATGTTCACTATGTTGTTCTGGCACCACGTTAGCTCTGCATTTGTTAATTTGTTTGTATTTCTAAGAAAAGATGAGGAAAGTCGTGTCTTAAGATCTTGATAGTCACTTAAAGCACAGTTGTATTACAGTGTGCTGTCACTGTATTAAAGAATAGAAACAGGCTGAATGCAGATATAATTTCTGTGTCCTTTAATGTATTTCAGATTGCCAAAATATTGTAAAGCAAACATAGTATAGCAACTAATCAGGTCTAAAATAGCAGATTACTTCTTGAGGTGTAATTTAAAGTTACATGAAGTGTAAATAACAATCTGACAATTGTGATAGCACCAATATATATTCACCGTATTTCGACTTTCCTGATCTCCATCACAGGTCAATCACATCTTCAAAATAGAGTGGAACATCACAGCAGTGGGGTTTTAATACTTTCTGTTTTTCCGGTGCTAGTAGTTGGTTCAGTTGATATATCTGTAAGAAACTGCTCAACACAAAGCACTCAGAAGAAATGTATTTTATCTGAGACCATTTTGCTTAGCACTTTCACTGCATTACATCAAAGGACTGCATGAAATTCCCTCTCAGAAACTGTTACCTTGGTCTCTTCTACTGACTGTACTCTAAGTCAATGT